ATAGTTTGATTTTTTGAAATTTTGATTTAAATGAAGTTTTCATCTATTTATAAATAACATTTTTGCCTTCAATTGGATTCAGGTTTTTCACCTTTAAAGTATAAATTAAAATCTCGCCAGTCTTACACGCATATACACGTCAAATTATAACTCGTATTTTAGCAAGTACGAGTTATAAATGCAAATTATGCTTGAGAAACAATAATTTCTCCGCATGTTCGGGAAGTGAAAAGTATTTAAGACTGCGTAGGCTTCTGTGGCTTCCGAAAAGTCACGCTCGCTATAAACCCTAGTTGCCTGAAAATGGCAAATTTTGAAATGGATAAATAATAAATTGACGCTTTTGTTGGTAAATGAACTAATTTGGTGCTAACATTCTTTGTGAACTAATTTATGTCGAAAATTAAATAAAAACAGAACTACCCGTTACCCGTGCGGGTAGCTCTCGCTACCCGCAGATAACGGGTACCCGCAAGAATTGTGCGGGTATGCGGGTAACGGGTACCCGACCCGTTACCCGCGGCAACCCTAATCCGCACCCACGCATGGATTCAAGCGTGACGAGTAGTTTTCTCTAAACACAATAAAACACACTTGAGAATTGAAATTAGCATGTTATTTTATTCTTCATTGATATTTCCTGTTGCATACTTTCTTTCCTAACGTGATATGGAGAAAGTATGCAAGACAAATCCCACCCGCGCAGTACGTGTGTATGTGCACATAAAGATTGTAGAACACAATAGTCCATTTATAGATTTATTATCATTCTCATAAGACTCATGGCCCATAGAATTGTAGATCATTCCAATTGAAATGATGTATTGAGGAGGAGTTTGAGTAGGATGATTTTATATTGCATGACTTAATATTTTTGCACTCTTAAAAATAATGTTACCGTTTTGAAGAGTACATACGTGCACTCTAAATTCTATATTATGCAAGTAAGCTAAATCACGTCCAGAGTAAACTTTGCTATTTATCGAGATATTTAACTTTACTCTTAAGTTTGTGTAGTTCGCTTAATTTAGAGTTGAGAGTGTGTATACGTTTCAAAAGTGTGACATTGTTTTTTAGAGTGTATGTACAAACGTATGTCGGTAGAATTAAATCACTTCTGAAAAATCCGGACTTCCAATCGACTTATTATTTCCTACCGGATGTAGATATATACAGGACTTACATACAAGCCACGAGCTTTTATTGTCCTGCTATAAATCCTCCTACTTACTTTGGTGATTTCTTTCCCAACATGATTTCATTGCCAGTACAATACAGTACAATGCACCAAGTGGATAATGCCGTCTTACCTTCCTCACTACGGTAAATAGTATTTCTGTGGCTTTCTCATCCTCAAAAATCCTTCTCGAACATCTTATTTACTCGTACTTACCTATTTCCTCTTTCACTAACCAACAATACGACTAAGTCAACCGCACCGTATTTTCCGTTTCTTTTTTAGGATTCACTATTTAAATATTTCAGTAGGAGGAATTCTGTTCAACCTACGAAATCCGCAATTATCCTCCTTCGCAATTCCTGCAACCTCTCCAGTTCCTTCCTTCCATTATTAGTCGTAACAGGAAACAGGGTTTGGAATGAGTACATCTGCAAGAAACTGGTGCCAGAAGTCATTTTTTGTCAGGCTGATTTATGTATGCACGAGTGAAAAAATGCAAGAAATAAGCGCCATCTGCTGGACCGTCCTTATAATTAAGTGTGCAACACTCTTAGAAATCCAGTCTTAAAATTATGCTAAGCAATAATAGTAATTCATATGTAACTCTACTCAAGTGGTATTGATTATTTGTAGTAATACCGTAGGACTAACTTGGAGTTAAATTTTAACTTTGCCGGTAAGCAATTTTTACGTACCGGTATAATTTTAACACCAGAATACTTAAGAATCAATACGAAGAAATCGAACCCTGACTGCAAACAAAATCAAATTCATGGATTTCACTTAATAAAAACCGTATGCATGTATGTATTCATAAAAACGTTATGTAAGATCAGCTCACCCAGGGGAAACTGGATCATGGAACGTTATGCCCACATAATTTAGTTCTTTCTTCGAAAACACAATGCAGAATTGGCTATTCGTGAGAATTTATGTGCAATGAGAGAAGGAAATTGGTGTATATAAGGATGTCCTTAATATCCCCAGGTGGTAGATAAGATGAGTATCATTGTGAAAATGAAATCTTGTCCGTTTATTTTTCTTGCAATTTATTTTCACTCTAAAAAGTTAAACACATTTATTTTTCATGAATATGTAAATAGAAATTTAAATATTTACTTATCGAGTAAAATATGTGGGTCTAAATTTAATTAAGTTTTATGCGGAAATAATTCTCAATTAAATGAACGTTCTGCGCAAACGACAATCTTTATATAGCTTGAAAATTATACGTTGTAAAATTAACAGTCCAAGTTTAGGAAATTTACTAAATTTTTTAAAAATTGGATGATTTTGATTGTCAATATTTGTTACTCAGAAGTGAAAACTCGTCAAGTAAACGTTTTATAGATTTTGCGTTGCGAATTGCCATACAATGTACTTATGTAACAACTAAATTGACGTGAGTATGCCCAGTAAATCCATATATTTTACCAGCATCGAAGTACAAATTAACAAATTGATAACTTTCCATTATTTCAAAAATTCTTGTAAAATACGAAATATCATCTCGTCCGAGAAAAAACTAAAATGCAAACTGTTCCAGAAATATATATATATTACTTTCTTTCTCGATTTCCGGAATTATTCAGCTGCATGTGAAATGTGAAAGGTTAACTCGTTCAACTGAATCTCATCGCAAATACCTTTAAGAGCATGACTCGAGTCAAGTGCACACACACAGAGAGAAAAGTCCAAGTGCGTTTTACAGATCAAAGGAAAGTGGTGCATGAAGTGAAAGTTACCATGAATCCGTTATCTGTCACACCGCAGGCACACCTTTCAGTCGCCCACGTGCACTTCAAATACCACTGACACGTTCTTTCCATACATACATCTATGTAGCAAATGTGGAAATGGATGGATGAACAAAGATGAGACCTGATTTAGACAATTTTCAGTGTAATATTTGTTTTTCGTATGAATACTTGGCAACTCTATTTTGGAGAAAGTTCAAATCTCAAACTTTATTTTACCCCGTGCTAAAAATCATACATATTTACATATTTACATTTTCCTGAATGTAAACAGTTTCACAAAAAATGGTAAAATAATCTCCAGCCCGGAAGGAAGACCCCCTGCTGACAATTCAATTCATTCATTCAGGAAATTCCTGAAGGCTGAAATTTAGCTTAATGTGAATACTAATGTAATTATTTACATTTAGCTTACCTAACTTACATTTATCAAAAATTAAATAAAGATAATCATTATACATATACATAATTGTAATTATGAGTTACATAACTGCTACATAGACTCGTATCTATGTAATTGTTTTTTTTCACAAAACAATACGATCAGAATTACATCTTTATGTATAATTCCCTCAAAATTAAACCGTTTTTAAGCTACACCGGGATTGTCTAGGGAGTTATATTTATTAAAAATCAAGCCACAAAATATGAATCACAAGGTACTTTCGAGTGACTCATTGTGAAGGAATGAGCGAAATCACTGTTCGCTACTATGTAATTTAACACAAAAATGCTGCAAAGTATTTCGGACAACGCAGCAGAAATTACAGTAACAAAATAGCATTACTGGTATGCAGTTAAACATTTAGTACTCAACTGCAGACACACATATCTACATACACGCACAAGATACTGACCAGGATTCACAATCCACAGATGGAAACCTACCCTTTCATGCATGCATGTACATATTTATCATTAAATAACAGTCCATTAGGAAACGTGAATGTGAAGGGGATAACTATTCTCATTCGCATCATCGGTAATATGTATGTACGTACATATGTACAAGATTGTAATGTTGTACATAGGGTTTCTTTAAATTATTACATACGTTTGCAATTGGGGGCTTCCCTGCCAACGTGTTTAACCAGGAGGGATGAGAGGCCCACTTCTAACATAACAATATAGAAACTTAAATATAATGTGCATATTGCCCGGTGTCATGTAGAGGTGAGCTGGATATCCATTTTTTTGGATAATGCATGGCCCGATCCAATCCAACTGGATTTGGATGGATTGGATCTGAAATTTTTTGGGCCAAATGGATTTGGATGGATTGGATCTGAAAAATTTTGGGTGAATTGGATTTGGATGGATTGGATCTCAAATTTTTTGGGTGAAATGGATTTGGATGAATAGGATCTGGGTGTATTGGATTTGGTCGAATTGGATAAATTTCGTCACCATAAAGAATATCAGGAAGTGTTCTTTTTAACACTCCGATCTCATCCTAACATTAACTGGGCCCTACTTTTGTTGCATGGAACACACTGTGACACATATACAGTCCAATCAGATTTATCCCGAACACTAACCATGAGTTTATATATATAATTCTTTGGATAATCCATGCCCTGATCCGATCCAACTGGATTTGGATGGATTGGATCTGATATTTTTTGGGCCAAATGGATTTGGATGGATTGGATCTGAAATTTTTTGGGCCAAATGGATTTGGATGGATTGGATCTGAAATTTTTTGGGCCAAATGGATTTGGATGGATTGGATCTTAAATTTTTTGGGCCAAATGGATTTGGATGGATTGGATCTGAAATTTTTTGGGCCAAACGGATTTGGATGGATCGGATCCGAAATTTTTTGGGTGAAATGGATTTGGACGGATTGGATCTCAAAAAATGACGATCCAGCTCACCTCTAGTGTCATGTATGTTAAATATAAATGTATGTATGCACATACATACATTAATGCTCGAATGCAGGCGAGTAACGATATTTTGTACATATGTATCTGTAATTTATCCGGTACGATTTAACTATGTATGTATTGGTGGGGTGACGATCCTGCCCTTGTTAGACAGGACCAGCCAGCTGCGTAAGCACTTAACGATTTAACTAAGAAGCCATATTAAATTCTTGGCAACGTTTTGTGCCAAATAAATTATTTTTATAATAAGATAATTGCAGCCTTTAACAATTTTGAGTGTTTCTTTCAGAACACGGAGATTTAGTGGAAAACGTAGTCAAATTTATTAAAAAAATAATTTACCACTATATATTAATAGTGGTAAATCGACCCAGTTATGGTATTATGATTGCCAACAAGACCGTAAATTTATAGGTGAGTGTACATTGTTTAACATGGTGTTCCCATTTTTAAAAGTAAGTATACTTAAGTACGTTAAATTTTAAATTAAGTAAAATAAATCGAACAGAGGGCAAAACACTTGACACTAAATCAAGTTAACGTTACTCTGAATTTAGTCTGGTTTGCTTACATAATTTCGAACTCAGGGTGAAAGGGTAGCATTATTTTTAAGGGTGTAAATATGTACATATGTATCATTTATGAATCTTGGAAGTAATATGTACACGGTTAGAAATCCAGTATGGCCACACATGTCTCGGTATTAAAGTTGCTACCTATTGGTATTAAAATTATACCGGTCCGTAAAAATCTGATCCTAATGTTGTAAAACTTCAACAACCGGGTTATGACTACATACACGGTATTATTTATCAATACCACGTTGGTAGAGTCATACCGGCTGGTATTATTTTAATACTGGATTTCTAAGAGTGTACATAATTAGATGCATCTCTTTCAGCCATAATCACGTCGCGACGGAATGGAGGAAATCACAAACTACTACGGAATCCTGGGCGTAAATCCGAGAGCAACAGAAGACGAGATTAAAAGGGCTTATCGTGCCCAACAATTAATCCATCACCCCGATAAGGGAGGAGATGCAGAGTTATGCAAGAAGTTAAATCAGGCCTACAAAATCTTGAGTGATGCCCTTCTCCGGAGGGACTTTGATCAGGAATTTGACGACGAAGAGGACGACGTGTCCTTTGGAGGTAGAGGTGACAAAAGTTCTTTTCAATTGCCCCCAGATGGTGAACGGGCGTCGGAGAGGTGGCGACAAAAAGTGGCGAAATGGGAGGAAGAATACAACAGTGGAAATGGTAAATGTTTATTTTATAGGTTGCTATTTATTGAAATAATTTAGAGATAGTTGTTCGAAATTGGATTTGAAAAAATTTTGGAAATTAGAAATTTTTAATTTTAATACAAATTTCTTCTGTTTTCTTACTATTGATACCCTCCTGTTTACCGTGGTCAGTTTGGTTGGGTCGTGTCTATTGTTGGCTAAAAAAATAAGAAAAGGCAGTTCAAAATTTTGAAAAAAAATTACGGGGACATTTAATAATTACGAGGTTGCGTATTCGCCTCGTAAAATAATTTTTAAAATATCACACTGAATACCCCCATTATTTTTCACTTTAAAAAAAGTATATCGGGATAAACAATACAATTCTAAATTCTGAAATTTTGTCCTAAAAACAGGAATATCCCCTCTAAACCTGCCCCTCATTGTCGACACGATAAAAGCCTTCGTCTCCCAGTACGACTCAATCTTATCGCAGAATGCAAAAAATAACAGAACTGAGGACGTTTACTATTGCCACATTTGCGAAAAGTTTTACCCTTCCGATGACACCCATTACACCGTAGCAGTCCAGCCATACACCAATTTATTCGAGCCCCACCGAGATGAACAACTCTACCCGACAACAAAGGCCCGATTTGGGTCAACATTCGGAGAAAATGTGACCTCTTGGGAACCCTCCAGATTTTCCCACAGCGAAGAAACCCTCGCCTTTTGGGGGTCACCGGAATGGAAAAATTGGAACCACGTGCAACCACGTGTAACAAAACTTATCCAGAGTACAAAAATTAATTGTGAATGGCCAGGTGAAAAATTGGACAAAATCAATTTCACCAAATTACCCGGATTCCTTTTGAATGACGTTACTTTTAAAAACACCGATGTGAAAATTAAGTTGGATAAATGCCTGAATTTCTCCGACCAAGCTGACCTGGCGGGAGAAACATTAACCATTTTAGTGGATGATGCTGCTTCGGAATCCCGCCCACCATTTCCCAACCCCACCTTTGTTGCTAACCCTCCCGGAAAATTTCAGAACGCGTGGCATTGTTCCTACTGCGACGTAACGTTTGGCTATGTTATACCCCAACGCCACCACTGTAGGCGTTGTGGCAAAACGGTATGCTTATCTTGCAGCTTGCCCAATCAGAGAATATTTTCCGTGGGATATTCATCCGCCAGGATGTGTGCAACTTGTATCCCACTCGAAACCACGTGGACCCTTCAACTCTGGACGAATTATGTAATTGGAGTCATTAACGAGACCAAGGACGAGACTTGTGAGGACGATGTCATCGAATTGTTTGCCCTTGGTTGCATCAACTTTGACTGGCACTCGGGTAAATATGCGGTTACATTTAACTATTCAACTGGACATTTAATTAGGGAATTACTTATTATTTCTAATTTTGAAGTGAATCAATATTTATTAATTTCATTGTATCGCATAACGAAGTAGACGACTTATCGCCAAAATCAATAACTCATCCTTCAGCTCTTAGAATTTATTTTAAAACTTTAGACGACGAGTTTGAACAACAGGTTGATTACAACTTGTTAAGAATATATGCACACTTAATATTTTAACAGTTTTGGAGGACGAGATCTCATTTTTTAGAAGCCTTCAGAAAAATTGGAAACAAAAAATTAATTTAAAAAACTTACCAACATTCTATTAAGCAAATTACGGACTACAGAAATTTTAAAATAAATTCCCAGAGCTAAGAAATGCGTTTATTTTAAAGATTTTGGCCATACGTCATCGAGTCCCACGTTGACTAATAATGTATACTTCATGGGGTATTCGTTATACAACAGTTGTTAAACAACTATTTTTAAAATTTTGAATAATTGAATAATGAATGAATAATAAATGAATTATTTGTAAAGCGAATGAATTGAATTTTAATGAAGCAATATGTTTTTAAATGTCTGATCAGGTATCTCTCCGCTTCCCAATGATTGCAAGATTCTCCTGGATTTGGCGAAAAAGACAAAAATGTATAAATTTTACCTCGCTCTGGCACGATTTTTCACCTTGTCACAGCAAAGTTGGGAAGAAATAGCGATATTTTTCTGCTCCAAGCAACTGTTTGGATTTGCAGCTAAATGCATTTTAAGTATGAATAAGGACGACGCTAATTGGGAATCACTAGCCCACAAATTTGCAAAATATGATTCATTTGCTCAACTATCGGCGCACTGCGTGTTGGAAGCGAGGTATGTGGCCTTCGAACTTGACATGTCCACAAGCATTTATTCAATAGAGAATGAATATTTATTTCTTCATTATTCAAAAAATGAATGAATAGAAGGAAATAAATTCTTGCGTGAATGAATATTGAGTACATACGTAGTTATTTATTTTATATGTATTCATGAAGAATGAAGAATTTTATTCATTACATATTTACTTTTCACGCAATTCTTAATACATTGGGTCTCTTGAGAAGTTAATTAAATAGGGCAACTTTGAGTTCAAATTAAAAAAAATAATTATGAATGTGCGAATAATAAATGAATGAATAAATATTTGTTTCCCGATTTTTAGCTTGAATGAATTTTGAATAGGAAATATTTGTTAATAGGTTGCTTCCGAACCAACTTTTTTCTCTGACGAAGAAGATATTTGCCCTTTCTGGACATAAGTTGACCCCTTTGGTACAGTTTTGCGCAAATTTTACCCTGGTCAGAAATCAAAAAGAAGAAACGGCCCCATTTTTCGCTGCCGTTGGGAAAATGTTAATCGAAACGGAGATGAGACCTCTGGCATTCTATTTTCTTGACGAGATGAAAGCTGAAGTTCAAGAAGGCTGGATTGACGATCTGGGCAATTTTTTATGGACGCAAAATCACTATGACGCGTTACACCTATTGTTCAAATACAGGAGGGAAAAACTCCCTCGTGCAGACGTCATCCCGGCCGGCAGTCCAATCTTGTGCGCCCTTTACTTACAACAAGGCAGTTCTAACGAGTCGGATTATGCGGTAAAGTCATACCTGTTCACATTCACTCACTTAGAATATATAGGCTGATATATTATTATTCATTATTCAATAAATTCCTGAACAATGATAAAATACTTTTTTCACATTTTTTATTTACAAAATCTATCGTGTAAATGAATATACATATGTATTTAGGTAGGATAAATATTTATTCAATTATTATTCATGACAAATGAATTAATAATTTTAGTAATTTTTCATTTTTCACCATAAAATAAATAGCAAATTTGAGACAAAATTAATAACGAATACATATTTAATTTCAAACTTGTAATCGATGAAAAATGAAAGTATATTTTTAATAATTTTTAAATGAAGTGAATTTTGAACGAACAAATATATTTTTGAACAGGTATTGGTAACCTTGGCTACCACCATGTTAAAACGTCTCCTAAAGAAGAAATCAGTCGATGCCATCCTTCCCCTCGGAACGTATCTTAACAGTGTTTCCTCACCATCAAAAAATTGGATTCACGACATTTCAGAAAACGCTGAAACTGACAACGAGATATTGCTCTTGTGTGCAAAATTGTCCAAATTATTTGACTCGGGGGACATTTACTACAAAATGGGGATGGCTTTGAGGCAAAGAAACGACAAGATTTTGGCCGATTTATGCTTCCTCGTGGGAAGAACGCACCCAGAAAATGTAGCAGATGACTTTTACGACGCGGGAGATCACAAATCTGCAATCGAATATTATCTTCAAGTGGGGGACATGCCGGAAAGGATACTTTGGGAGAAGGGAGAAGCTCTCATGACCAAGGGGGGAGATAAGGTCTCCAGTTATTTCTACTTTTGGGAAATCATCAAGAAAATCGAGCCCTTACCCCGCCCTCAGAAAATTCCGGTTTACATAGATCTAGCAATTTTACTATTTGGCGGTGATTTCAATTCCGGGTTGCAAAACGTCTTTAAAACAATCGTGGCCGAATTTCGGGACGAATTCGAAAATTCCGACGCCTTCCAAGATCTTCATGAGTTTATGCTGGCCCAATTCTTGAAGCAAGAGGACAACGAAAAGCTAGCAATTGCGGTACTTCACTACCTCCCCGGAAAGTGGGATGTAGCCTCAAAACAAAAATTTTCCTCGTCATTTTCCCCCCAGTTTAAAACCAGGGTGACCACGGCATTAGAATCGTACAATTTGGAATCCTTAGCTGAAGCCTTGGTGGACACGAATGCGAGAAATGTCGCCTCTCTGGAACAAATAATTTGTCAGCATGACTACTTTTGTAATCTGGATGTAGAAAAATTGCCCGCTATTTTCAAAATTAGCTATCATATGATTACCGGATGTATACTAAAAGTTCGTGGCGACGTGGTTAGGGCGATCAATCATTTCAATGCGTGCCTTCACTTGAGCCCGCAAGTTGGACGGGCCACCGTCAACTCTGCGATTTCGATCCTGCTCGATTTCCACCTTCATTTCCAAACCGTGCAGAGTTTACTGGATGAATTAATGAGGGTTTCGAAGAAATGTGACAAACACGTCACCCTGCCAGATCCATTCCATAAATTTAAGGCTTTTTTAAATTTCAAAGGAAACCAAGAATTGGTCACGATTCGCAAAGTTGAAGCGGCAATAAAGAACCAAGCCATCGGCTTCGAAGCCGCTATGTCATATTTAGATTTTTCTGCCAGCGCTGACTCCGGAACTGTGCTAATTTCTTGTTGGACTTGCGCCATTTCAAAACTTGTGGACACCCTGACCACCAAGAATTTAGAAGACGGAAGAGTTTACGCGATTTCCTCCCTTATCTGTGAACTGGTTACGGTAGTTTTTTTATTTACGAGGCGTATCTGCACCCCACACTTTGAAGGGATTATTTCCGCCTGGCTCCTCAAAGCTTTGATCATCGCGGGAAAAAGTATGGACAACATTAGACTACCGAGATCCCCATCACCTTCAATAAAAATACTTCTCCAAAAACTTCTCGAATCACGGATTGGATGCTTGAAAGTGAACCCGTTCGTGTTGGATGACACTTTCTACCCAATTTTGGACAATTTGTACGTGTCCATGATCCAGGCCGAGTTTCAAAAGCATTTTTTCACCCATCGAATCACAAATCCCTACTGTCACACGGGAATCTTGCCAACCCATCTTTTTGCGTACCACAAATTCGACGGAGTTTGGCGTGGGTGGATTGATGATGATTTTCTCGCAACGAAACAAGTCTGCATTGACGCCATTCTTGCCAAGAAATTTTGGCGGGAGGACATGGTTAAGGACAACCTCGAATGGGGACTCCAGCCCAGAGATGCAGACGGTTTTGTGAGACACTGCAATAAGTTAAGTTTCGTAAATGCAGAGAAAACAACAAAATTATTACCCCGCCAAAAAAGTTACGAGTCCTTTGATGGCTTTATATTTGACAAGAACACGGGAAAGGTGGAATTTTTGTTGAGAAATAGACCCCTCCTTCTTAACCTTGTGAAAGGACGGAAACCCAAATTATTTAGCCTCGACGACGTCATGGAAGTCTGTCGTGAGGAGATTTCCGCCGCCTTTTTCACCCTGGAGGAACCCAGTGGAGGAGAAAATTTTAGGTCACACCCATTCCAAGAGATGCGGTTCGGCCCATCCCGACTAAAGGGAACCAATTATCTCGCCACGATGGCGAGGGCGGACATTTTACTGAAAGAAATCACCACCGGGGTCGAGATCAGTTCGACGCCGCCGTTCCGCATGCGCTCAACTAGTGTGAACCTTCTTCAAAATCTTCCTCCCGACCTGCACGAGATTCTTGGACCGATCAAAAACGACAAGGTCACGTCTCTCTTGCAAGAATGCGTGCACCGCTTTTGGATAGAAATTGACGACATTCCCTACAAAATGGAGGAAACTGAGGGTGCAATAACTGTCCGTTTTGGCCCCGTCGCTGCCCGGCTTTGTACACGACCGATGACTCGAAATTTGGAAGGTGAATTGGAAGACGTGTTCAATGAGGGGGAGGACACACCGGAAGAACAATTTGCGAAGAACTTTACCCAATCGTATGACAAAATTGGGACACATTTCCCAGAGCTTTTACGTCTCAAAGAACTAATGAAGATGTCATTCATGGCGCGAATTTTGAAAGGTATTGCTCGAAGTGTGCAGTCCTCTAGGGAAGAGGCGGAAACTCAAGCGTACTATGAGGACCTTTGTGTAAAGACGAAATCTGAGTTGAGAAGGATTTACTCGCAAATTTCGAGTTATCCGCAATGCACCCCCGCCAAGATAAGAGAAGTCTTAAACGATGCTGCAAGAAGTGCTGGCATCAGCACTTATCAACTAGGATACGACGAGAGAAACAAGTTGGAGTCCAAGATTCGAGCCCAGCTCGAAAAATCCGATGCAGACGTGTTAAACCATTATTGTTCCACTTTCTCTGAGACGTTTGGACTACAAAGCACACTTCAGTTCAGGGATCGTGTCCGTGACTGGCTTTCTTCTGGAAGATTGGACACCCTCGGGGATGACTTGGCTAGAGCAGCGGTGCAGAAAATTCTTCGGGAGGCTGGCCAGGTTCTCGCAAACTTGTTGGGTTTGACCGGAATTTCACCACTGGAGAGGGATAAGAATGAAGAAATTGAGAATCGATTGACCTGTTCTTGGGTACCTGCCGCATTTTGCAATGATTCGGAGGACGGATCGTCAGTTCGGAAGGTGTACGGGGGTGTGAGCATGATGGCAAATGGGGTTTGCACATCTGGAATAACTTCATCCCTGGGGACATCTAGAGTTTCTGCGGGGGGAAGCGGTTCGCGCCCACCGCCTTCATCCGCACCACCAGCCCCGCCTCCGCCGCCCCCTAGCACTGGTAGCAGGTCAATGGCGGGAAGGACGGCGAAATTGAGAGAGATAATGAATGACCCTAAGCAAGGGAGTCACATCAGGGGGTGGATTCGACAAGAAGTAAATCAAATTGAACGAGGGCAACGAAATTATATTCGCAACCCCCCAGGCCATGACTTGGCACATTGGAGAGGATACGAAAGTGCGAAAGGGTACGACTATAGCCACTCAAATCTACAGGTTAGAGATTTGCACAAATTGCAGCATAAGTATGACAAGAATGGAAAGTTAAATAAAGATAGGGGTAGGAATGAGTGAGGTTATATACCAGGAAATAAATAAACTATCCTTGAGACGATCAGATGGAAATATTTTGATAACAGTCGAAAACTAGCCAAATATTTGATAAGACGGTGTTATGCCTGGAAATTAATTCTATAACGACATTTATTGCATATTTTTATTTTGTTGTGGTTGTTTCGATAAATTCGTATTTGAATTTTAATTCGTGGAATAATTTCATTATAATTTAATAGGCTACTTAATCGATAATAAATAGTACGATGACGGGTTACTTTGACTTTTGTGAGTTAACCATTTCCCGATAAGTATGCTATTGTAACATTGTGCTGAATTAATCATTGGCATCTTTTAAATTCAGTTTTGTAACCAAAATTTATTCCAAATTTCAATTTATTTATAATAATAAACATAACTACCTGTAAAAATTAAAACGTTATATTTAAAAAAAAATCAAGGAAAAGTTCCCAGTCACTCGTAGTTATACAATTATTAGATTCACATTTCTGCTTAATATTAAATTAAATGAATTTACTACCTAACTTAGAAATTCATTAGTACACAATCAGTGTGCTACCCTCCCAGTATTAAATTTGCAAAACTAGACAAATTCATTAAGAATTTATTGCAGTCACTCGTACCATACAAGTTACGTATCTTATATACTTAACACCAAATAGATCAATTCAACAAATATCATACTTGCCCCGTGGTGACCGTTTGGACTACAGCTAATGTAACACATAAGTTGGTTGACGCAGATCACTTTTAACAGATTTTCAAACGGAGTCGGAAATATGATATTCATTGTGACATTCTTGTGACATCCTTAGTCGTGTACGACACACTGGTTTCATGCTTTATTTAGTCGCATTCGCTATGACGGATATTTTTTTGTATACATATCCATAGATATGAATATAGATACATTTGTTTTATATGCCTAACTTGTATCCCCTACATACATACGTACATAAGTATTCTGAAGGTGTAAAACAATTAATGTTACAGCTTATCGGGAAAAGATAAGTCTAAAAGTTTAACTACCATTTTTATCGAAATACCCCAATAATTATGTGAGCTAACTTCCTTCTTAACTAACACACATATAAATGTATGTGCAATCAAAAAATTTACAATTAAACACAAATCAACATCTCAGGTTCAACCAGACCTTACATATGCACGTGTATGTAGCACGATTTGTTTTATGGGTTAAATCACGTTGGAAATTATACAAATTTGACCCTAATTTCCCATAATGACGTTTTGAAATTAACAAAACATTCGCATTATTTTGCAATAATGTACCACCACAATTTATGACATTAAAGCCTCAATCGTTTTGTCCGTCACAATCACATAGTATTTCGATTTTGTCGATTTTTTTATCGCGAAGAAACTTAACTCGCCCGTTCCTGCCTTAAATCCCATCGGCTTTAGAGCCTTTACCATCTTCTCCTCGAGTCGCATGGTGCCCCGTTTCAGTGCCAACTTATCCTTCCACCTCGCCAACAATTTTCCACTCCGCTCATGACACTCGATCCCATAAGGGAACAGTATTCCAGTCGCGACTATTGCTAGGAACGACGCAGTTGGGAAGAAGAGATAAAACGGCATCCGAATAACACCCAACATTCGAACAGTGGTGAAATTGCACATGACCGTGAATCCGAATCCGATCGAGAGAAACATGCTGGCCAAAAGGGTGGTAATATTTTCCACGGTTTTGAACACAATGCGGAACCTTTGATACATTCGGATCGATTGCAGACTGATATTTAGTTTGGCTAGATTGCCTACTGAATCCACCAGCATGTTTAAAACCAGTGCGGTAGTTACGACTAGGCCGACAAGGGAAGCAGTGCAGTGAAACCCGATGAAGGTATAGTAAGTTACCAACACAATGAAGGTGATCAATTTGCAAGCAAAATACGTGTTTATGGGACAGATCGAATTTGCCAGGGCGTACTCAAGGTGAGCAAATTTGTCATTGACGGTTAAGTATGCTTCGAAAAGGGCGAAAAGAAATGGCAGAACGGCAGATGTGACGATAAAGTTGCATAGCATCAGGGTCAGCTTGTCCCATTTCTTTCCACGTTTTGCAAAACCTGTGATATAGGCAAATTGATTCAAACACTAGTTGATTTTCGCAAAATTGTGGTACGACGGTTATTATTTAGTAGATTATTAAGTAGGAGGGATCGTCGATTTTAATGTGGTTTTGATATTTTCTGCTGAAACCCTGACGTGATTTTACTCCATGGCTCCATTTGCCGCTGCCACACCCACTCATAGGCATAAAACATACCTGTGCAAGTAAATTTGCCTTCACTCATTTTCACCTCACGTCCAATCGCCCTTCACTCCCCTCACTCACGTGAAGGAAGGCTGAGTGAGGCTTCACTCACTGACAAATCTGATTCTCACTCCTTCATTCCCTTCACTTCACTCAATTCCTTCACTTCCTCATTCCCCTCACTCAGCTATTTTCCTCACTCTTTCTTTCATTCAATTAAGTATTCCTCGTGTCGTCATGATTTAAATATTTTGGCGCCATCTAGTGGGGTAATGTGAGACTAGGCTGGGGCAATGTGAGACTGGGCTGGGGCAATGTGAGACGAGTCTGGGCCACGGCGAGAATTTCCTGGGGTGGAATGAGACCAATGGGTATTTTTCCCTGCTGATTTGAGTATACAAAGTTGTGTGTCAACTGGAGCGACAGTGGCGCACATACCCATCTGTGTATTATTTAGTTGCTTGGTGAGAAGTGGTGGCGCTCGGGTGCAACACCTACCAGTGTATTATTAGTTGGTGAATGTGCATAGACGGCGCTCATAGTGTGGCTACTATCGCTCGTCCAGTACTTTTTCTAGATAGAATAGTATAGTTCTGTGTATGAGACTAATTATTTTCATATGGCCACGGTGATTTTAGTATGTAAACTAATTATATTCCTTCACCCATTTTCCCGGAGATGAAGGAGTGAGAGAGATGAAGCCTTCATCTCCTTCACTCCTTCACCCTTCAATCCACTCACTTCTCGTCTCAGCCTCCCTCACTCACCTTCACTCACTCGATCAAATTTTTCAACTCCATCACTCAGCTTCACTCTCCTTCACTCCCTCATCGTGAATGAAGCCTCAATTTACCTAAATTGAGTGAAGCTGCACAGGTATGGCATAAAAACACAAAAACAGAACCTTCAAGGTTTAGTTTTGCTATAATTTACATATTAAATAACTAGCGTATAAGCCCGTCTCCCGCCGGGCGGCAGCTTAATTGATTTTCATTAAAATTGAGTGGGATTGTGCATAACTCCACCGAATTAATTATTTTATTGTATCTTATGTATATTATTAGCTGGAAATGTCTGTTGTCAAGAATCAAGGGTAGTGAAAGTAAATGTTCCGCAATTGACCATTTCACTTTAACTTTACTGTAAAGTACATTGGCCAACCAATAGATAACCAATATAAGTATTATTAGATAACCACTCAGGATAACCATCCCTGAAGAACCGTCGTCGACTGTGCTGCTGTGCTGTGCGTACAGCACAGCCCAGCACAATCGTCCCAGTCCCGATGTATCACAATTCGTCGACCCTGTCCTGTTGCCTGATGGTGGTTATCTTGGAGCGGTTATCTGATGGTGGTTATCTGGAGGTGATTATCTGGAGGTGGTTAACAGTGGTGATTATCTGGGGGTGGTTATCAGGGGTGATTATCTGAAGGGGGGTTATCAGCGGGGGGTTATCTGGGGGGGTTGTCAGGAGGTAGTTGTCTGTGGATGGTTATCATGAGGTGGTTGTCTGGGCGTGCTTGTCAGACAGTGGTAATGGTGATCTGGGGGTGGTTGTCATACGGTGGCCATCTGGGTGTATTTTTTAAAATTAAGAATTCAATTGAATTTTCGCGCCATTTGAAACTTAACTTTCTCCACTTTCACTTCCGTTGCAGACAAACATTTCCAGCTTATAATATAGATTTGCACCATTGATACCTCTAAGGCTCGAATTTTTTCGCTTAAAATTTGTTATCGAAGAAATGAACAAACGAAAGTAGCAATTTCTTTAGATTCAACATCCAGTTTGTTTGATGCAAATGGGGACAAGTTCTGAGTTTTCGTAAACACTTTAAAATCAAAAGTAATTCCTAGTTGCGATAGCGAGTGAACCATCTTTTAATCGTGCATACCTAGAAAAAAAATCACTCTCACCTTCTTCCAATTCATCGACGTGACGCATCAAGTCATTCATGAACGCGGCGCACTCATGCTTTATCAGCGTAGTTGCGACGGCAGCAAGGACGTCGAATGTTATTAGACTCACGCCAATGAAGAGAAGGACGATTGGTACAATTTCGAACTTTCCTGAATACGCGATATTTATGAACTCTGCCACGTTTGTAAAAAATCCACTGATTACGATACACTCAGCGACGTAAAAGGGGTAGAATAAATCCTTGTCCGACCAAACGAAGAATTTCCGAGTGGATGGGTTACACGCAATCGGGAATTTTATATAAATCCAGAAAACTTTAGCGTAAATAAGTTGAGCATTAATGTTGGCCATTTTGAGAAAATTTGGAGTTCATGGGGAACATGGTGAAAGTCAAAGGGATTAAATAAAGAGAGCTGGTTTTACCAGGGTAAATTGTCTGGCTGGAGTGGACCCATTTTAAGTAAGTACTCGAAGAATAATTATTTACTTATTAATCACTTTGGGACCGTGCATAAATTTTTACCTTTTCGTACAATCAAGGCACGTAGATTTCCGAAATGAAAATTTTCGTCAGATTGAACATTCTTCGTGGGTGGATGAATGATCTCACAGTGAAAATTGAAATTAAGCCTTGAAAAAAGCAAACTCAATGTTAAGCCTGAATTTAAGTTAGAAATTTAATTATGACTAATTTATTTATCAGAAGCTTCAGCAAGCCTAGACTTGTTTAGTGTTTCTCTGAAAAAAAGTAAGTTTATTTTCCTAGGAACATTCAATAAATAAAGTATTTAGATATAATTAAATTATTAGATATTATGCTAACGAAAGCTTGCAACGCAATATTTTTTGGGGTTGGAGTTTTCGATAAGAATCATTTTTAATTAATTAGACAGGAATATGAGTTTATGATTAATATTATTGTAATTTTCCAAGCTGGAAAATTATTCGGGTTAATATTATTACATTATTTATTTACCAGCCTGGAAAATTTACATATTATATTTTTTCATCCAGAGCTGAAATTGAGTTCATTAATACACATCTACTCCGCCGTTTCCATGTTTTGTATAAAAGTTGATCAAATTTTTGATTAGTTTCTGTCTAAATACGTAGGAGACCTAATTTAAAAATTGGGCGTTTATGTACCCAACTTTAAGTCATCATAGATATGTATGAAGTAAGAAATGAAAATACAAATATTTGGCAAGGACAATTTTTAATAATAAAATGCTATATTGGTTTAACGTAATCCGTGGAAATAATATGGGCATATGTATATATGCATGTTAATCTTTATTATACAATAGTTTTTAAGATAAAACATACTGAAGTACCTACAGATACCTATCTGTATAAAATACGTATAAAATACGTTACCGCTTCGGATTAAACTTTACAGGTCAATAAAATTTAATACCGATGGGGAAAGAATTATAAATATGTGTGTGTTATCCACCCATCGCTATACATATCTATGGCGTTCCGAATTAATTATCACTTCATTGCTCCGGTGTAAATTTATATGTTTGTACAACTTACTTAGCGTCTCAAATTCAACAATTGTACTGAAAATACTCATACATGTTTCATACATGCTTTGTTTTGCTAATTAGTGGAACTAATGATCCCTAATGATTCCTTTAACCATTGAATAATTAGACAATTTGATACACAGTTGGCCCTAATAATTGCACACATGAAGGTCAGAACTTACCAAAGCATTAGTGTTGATAACAACTTGAGATAGTTCCTAGTGAACAACTTATGTCATCAAAGCTTCGATCGTTTTATCCGTCACGGTCACGTAATATCTCGATTTAGTCGATTTTTTCAACACGAAAAAACTGAATTCGCCAGTTCCTGCCTTAAATCCAATCGGTCTTAACCCCTTCACCATCTTCTCTTCAAGTCGCATCGTGCCCCGTTTCTCTCTCAGTTTCCCCTTCCACCCCGCCA